TTCATAAAACATTCAAAATCCGAATTGAATAAATATTTTTGTGGCCAGCGTTCAAAATGCCTAAAAGTTCATGTACAGCGAAGAAGCACATAACTATAAGACACCTGATGTTTTTAGGTTATGAGCTAAAACATTGTGCTCGCATTGTCATCCTGGCCTATAATAAAAAAGGGGTCAACCGCCGGCCCTAAACCAGGCCACAGAACTAGTGCGACTTGGCCAGGGTCGCCGGTGCACGCTAATTAACGCAGGAGCGGACAGTTTCCCGCAGAGCGGGACGGCGCCTAATCACGAAACCGCCGAATGGCGACTGCACACTATCGTGCGGTTTTCCTTCACAAGCGATCGCAATTAGGCGCATTGTTTAATGCCAAACTTTGAACATGCTTTATTTAACCTCACTCGTTATTATCATCATTCAAAATGCTTAAATGCTATCAGGGAAAGCGACATTAAAAATAGGGCCGATCAACGTAAGCGTAACATATCAAGTTATTAGAAATTTTTAGGATTCCGTATGCAAAGGGTAAAACGACCTATTACTAAGAATCCGCTGTATGTCTGTCTGTCTGTCTGTCTGTCTGTCTGTCTGTCTGTCTGTCTGTCTGTCTGATCGTCCGTCACCAAGCTGTATCTTATAAATCGTAATAGTGAGACAGTTGAAATTTTCACAGATGATGTAAAACACATTGGGACATTAAAAATCTTATCTGTTGTATGGGGAAACAACAGACAGGATTTTTTTCTTTTGTCTTTTGTCTTTATAATTATTGGTACGGAACCGTACGTATCTTGTATCTTGTATTAACTGATGTTTGTGCTTTCAGTCCAGAGACTATTAAAGCTTCATCTGACGCAGAACCGGTGGGCTAGCCAGAACCCACGGGTTTGGGCCCTCCGCTGTGGGTAGGGCCGAGCATGTGCTCATGCGTGCGTTTAACTACGGCATGTCATCTAAGGGCCATCGAAGTAGCGGTGCGGACCGAGACCCCGATGGCCGTCGACTGTGTTTTAGCTAATCGGTGGCTGGGGGCGGTGAGAACCGCCCTGGAACGCGGGTGTACCTTGTGTACGCGTTGTGTTGGTCTCGCCGTGCTCGGAGGCGAAGGCGAACTAGTGTGTTTGTTGTTGCACTAACTGTGGGTGTAGTGTTATCGGGACCCCCGACGGTGGGTCCGACGTAATCAACCGTACGTACGTGAGTCCGACTCGCACTTAACGGGATTTTTAGATGAAGACAAACGTATAATATTTTGAGTTGAGCCCTACACAATAGGTCTTAATACCATCTGCACTAAGCACATCAAATTAACTATCAGTAGGTGTATTTGCAATGACTACTTCTCTAGCAGGTGATAGAAAACCAACAACCTCGATATTCCCAAAATAGGGGCTGAGCCTGTTAGTTGTAATGCTTAATGAAGAATGAATTTTATTATATTATAAATATACATCCTGCCATTATAAATTATTAGGTACTCAAGTGGTTGCCTAAAAATCTTTTGATGAAATAAGACTTTTTTATCTTATTATTATTTGAATAATAATCATTCCAAGCTTCTATTTGATGCAGTCTATTTTAATCGGCAAAAGTCAACATCCAATGGAGTGAGTCCAATAAAAATAAATATGTTTTCCACTTTCCAGCACAAATATTATTCCTCAGTTTTCAGAAAATCAAATATAATTGGCGCACGATAAATTTAAATAAAAATAAATATGGTGCAAGGAAAATTTCATTTTATTGTAAAATGGAACTGATATTTCTACTTTGTTTGTAGCATTTACTTGCTGCTTGTTTTCTTATTCATTTGTACATTGCCATTATTAGTAAAATTTTTAAAAATGACCTATGAACATAAAAGCTGTGAAACATAAAACAATATCAAAATTAAAATTGTATTATTAAATATTTAATTCTAAATATATATATTTAAAGACACTGAACGATAATAACAGTATTTATATCATATCCATAACCACAAATACATTTTTGCGTATTCCTTTTTTAAAAATAACCAATGGAGGCGTTTGGTGACGAAGACCCGAGTTCAAAGAATTTTTTTCACAAAACAATTCTCAATACCCGCTAAATTTTTCCCTTCAAAAAATTTTCACTTCAAAAATAATGGATTAGATAATTGGTCACATTTTCTTGCTTGCACTAAGAAACCATTGACAATAAGTATGAACGGACAAGTTAACTTTATTATTTTGTATTTAAGTAAATACAATAAACATATGTATAATTTCTGCTTCCATATATTTAATCTGATCTTCCCCTTTAAAAAATACATTATATATTCTATAAATTTATAAACATATAAGAATATTGTAATTAATCTACAAAGAAAATATCGATATATGTATCCAATATCCAATGAGAAACACATATACATATGTAAAACCAGCTTGCACTTCGAGAACCATAATGGGATAGACAGATAAACATGCAATCTAAGATTGCTAGAGATACAGGGAACAATATTTAAATATTACTTATTTAACTAAAACTCACTTAAGCCCCAAGTTAGAATTTAAAAGGGCTGGAAAGAGATGAAAGTTAATTTAGGTACTTGTTTATTAAGCCATGGCTGCTCAATATAATGATATATGTGTAAATATGATGATGTATGTATAATGATATAGGGAGCCGTGATAGCTCAGTATCCGGGCGCTCGCCTTTAATTCAATAAACTCAAGCAACCTGAGTTTGATCCCTGGTGCCAGCACCAATACACATATTCCGCGTTGAAGGAAGACATCGTGAGGAAACCTGCACATTTTCGAGATGATAACAAAAAAAATTGAATATATGTGAAATCCAAAGAAGTGGACTATGCCTTGATACCCTCTGTATAGAGGAAGCCTCTGCCCAGCAAGCGGGACATATATAGGCTGTTACTTTACTTTTTATGTTTAAATAGATGTGCATGAATAAAAACATTAGAAAATATAGATTTCATAAGAATGACATTCATTTAAGATTTTCAGATACAAAAATATCATAGAAAATGCGCAATATCAATGTTTTAAACATTCAAGTTTTATGTGTGTAATAGTTTGTTCACAAATTCATTACCTCTAAATAAGATTCATTGTATAATTATTTAAATGTAACATTTAAATTATATGCACAATTTTTTCGAAAAACTATAAGGAATATATAGTTTCTTGTAGTATATATCTACTTACAACCCTAACCAATTTCATTAAAATAAAACAGATAAACAGTAACTGTACTGGAGCTGAAACAAAATTCATATTCAAGTATTTTAGTATTTTGTGCATTTAATCAGAGTATCTGTTTGCAGATAATGATAAGGCGGGAATGTATATATAATAATTGTGTTCATGTTGCACATACGTAAGATAAAATTTAATTAATATGCCCTTTTATCATTATGCAGAACAAACTGATGATATTTAAGTAAAAAATAGTGATGAAAGAAAATTTCCATTATGAGTGCAGGTTAAATACTTATAAAATAGAATTTTTAGAAAAGCACCAATTAAGCTAAAAATTATTTTAATAGTGGCTCATAACAATGTTAACTGAAGAAATGATAGAAAATAAAGTTAATAAAAACCTTATTTTAATTAATTTAACTTTTTGGGGGTTATTTTATGGAGTGTTATAACTAGGCAATATATAACTTTTATCTTTCATTAATAGTACCACACTGTATACACTGCTTTACGTTAATTTTATATACGTACTAAATATTCGCTACAATAACCTAATTGAAAGGTGAGGTATGTTTTTATAATTTGGTCAGCATAATTATGGTTAGATACAGTAAGGTAATTAAGATATGATTATATTAAGTAGAAAAATATTGACAAAAATTGGTCACTTTAATACAATATCACTTTTTAAATACTCAAAAAATTTATTTTCTTTTTTTTTTTATAAGTGCTTTTTTATGCTTTTTATGCTTAAAGCTTTATAGAATGCAGGAAATTTTCTTGTAATTATTATGAATAGTGTGTTACAATTGAGTGTTATTACAAATACTACTGTGATATTATTATTTTTACATCTGCATAAAGGTCCCTTTTGTTGCAAGTTTTAAGCAAGCAAAATTTTAACAACTCAAGTGCTTTTAAAAATCTGTTGTAGGTTAATTTAAGGCAATTATAATATTTTATACAAAATATCATTTCAAAATAACGTACAATAAGATTCTTATTAGATCAATGCCTATTGTGATATTTGTTATATTTTTAAATCAAAGTTAAAAACAATATTAGTTGTACTGATAATGTTGAATTCTAGTTTGAACATCAAATTCTACGGAATTGGCTAGCGTTTTTGAATAAATGTTTGCAATTCAAGAAGTTATAATGAAGTACTTTGTTTACTGAGTTTTTGATTGTTATCATGCATTATATTATGTACATTACTTAGCGGAAGTATATATGAGATGTCTAGTTCGATGTGTAGACAAGCGAGATGTGCTTTAGTTATCCAATAACAAGTCACCATAATTGAATGTGAGGACATTGTGAGTTTGCCAATTGACAATAATTGTCGCAAAAACATTTTAGAGGTCAACGGACAATTCCCACCATTACGAAAAAAGATCTAGTAAAAAAATAGAGGAAAAAATAACAAGTTTACGAACGCAATTTCGATTTTTTGAGGGAAATTTTAAAGGTATTATGCGACCAAATTAAAAAGTGCAGAGATAACACTAAAACCCACAGTAAACAATGCACCGTGGAACTGGTCGGCTTCTCTTTATTTTTTATATAGAGCAAGTTCTCGCCCCTGTAGCTTCAGGAAACAAGTTCGTAACAGTATACGTCTAACCTGGGCATCGGAGTCTCGAGCGGTATGGAAAAAAACCGGAACACAGCACAAAAAAACACCCATAGAGCACTGTCGAAGGACTCACCGCGCGAGTTTAAGCGAAACACGTTTATCAAGAACAAAATACACACAAATAAAACACTATAAGCACTGAAATACGCGAGGGAACCTGACAAGTACCCACCTTGGTCTTCGTTATTACATGTGTGGCCAGTTTTACCACAGCGAAATTTCCTGTCCCAATCGTCTTTTCCAGCTCGTAGTTGCCCACACATACTAACTGGTCGATTGGGAAATGCTTGCTTTTGTGTTTCGGCTTGATGTTGTTGGCCATTTTCGTGAAAAATCGCGATAACACCGTCCGGCCTCGCGTACACCACGGCCGATTTCTGACTACTGTCCTTAGTTCAAGCGAACTACCACTTTGGAGCCACCGTCGCTCACGTCATTCGCTAGGGACATTCAATTACAGCCCTCCACTTTTCATTAACAAATAGAAATATTTTAAGTATCACAAACCAAAACATCTTGCATAAAAGCGACTTAACAGTAACAAATTACTTAGATATTAGGAATACCACTCTAAATATAGACTAAAAAACACGGCGACCGATCCTTATCAGTGATTCTGTTATCAATGCGTAAAGCTTAAATTGTACATCGCTTGCTTATGAAAAAAGAACCCGATTCACAACCTTTACGCGACTAGCGCTATCCACTCGCACCGCAATGTTTATCTTGCGTTAGAGCGAGATGCGTAGATAGTAGGGGGGCAATGACGTCAGATGTCAGCGTTGACGTCACACGCGGCAATTTCAAATGAGTTAGACTAACGTACGTCAGACGGGACTATTGATTTTTCATTCCGTAGACAAATTTTAAAGATTTTGTGGTAAAACCATGGAATTCTAAACTTTTCTAAAGTTCTTTTCTAAATTCTAAAGTTTTAACTCAGAAAATTTACTATTTATTTAAGTAACCAGCTATAACCGTTTTTCGCTAAATACAACGATACCCTGCTTCAATATTATCTTCCCTACTTTTAGTCGTTATTTCGTCAAAATGTGGTAGAGTGTAGAAGTCGTTTAATAATGTTTAATAAATTCTATTGGAAATAATAATAATCAGTTAAAAACGTCCAAGTTCTTGTATAATATAAAAATTAATTTGTTTAGCATGGCTTAATATAAAAAATGGCCTTTATTTTTTTAGGGTTCCATACTCAAAGAGTAAATGGGGTCCCCATTACTAATACTCCGCTGTCTGTCTGTCTGTCCGTCCGTCTGTCACTAGGCTGTATCTCATGAATCGTAATACAAAGACTAAAATTTTCGCAGATGATGTCTTTCTATTGCAACTAAAACAAAAATAAATAAGTTGGGTTCCCATATAACAGACATGATTTTTTTGCCGTTTTTATAGATAATGGTACGGAGCCCTTCGTGCGTGAGGCCAACTTGCACTTGGCCGGTTTTCTCTTTGCCTGCAAGCTGTTTTCTAAGTTGTACTACCTACTCAGCCTTTTCCATACATTTTTTTATTTCATAACATAAATTTTAATTTCATAATATAAATCTTGGTTAGATATAAAAATTCTTGTTTTAGTATGTTTTACATGTCTAATGAAATTTTCTGCTACAGATTAATACGGCGGTATACAGACCTATAACCTACCCATCTTGAATACCATGTTGGGTTGTCTGAGTAGATAGGTTTTAGATTTCCATCTAGCGTACCATATTATTATTTTTTACAACGTATAATATGAATTTTTAAATCGAAACGCAATTAAAAAGAAATTATAAGTTTCCAATATTTTTGAAAATAATCACTTGTCGTTCAAATACGTCTCGTTAACCTTACTGATTGATATTCGAAGTGAAACAAACCACCTTGCATCTCCTCAACATTATATACAGTTATATCGTACCATGATCTAGTTGATCTTGAATCAATAGAAGTATCCAATTAGTTAGTATTAGTTAGATCGGTCTTGTGTAAACTAACTCATTTAACGGTCCGAACAATCTGATTTACAATCGGTAATAAGGAACTGGTTAACATACAGAGGTAACATCTAAGACACTCTATATCTAATTAACATATTTTGACAGGTAAGACCAAATAGTTCCCGCTATCTTCACGATATCGGAACACAACAGTACGAAGCGATTATATGCATTGTAAGATTTTAGTTGGCTGTGGCGTTGTACTGAAAGAAGAAGTATACGGATACGGTGATTTCGGGGTTAACGTCGATCCTCCACTTGCGAAACTAGTCACTGAGGTGATTTGCGTCGCGTTAGAGGCGAACAATCCTTCGGTCAAGACGTTGGTCCGAATAAAAGCTATAAATATAGGGCTGTGTTGTCCGCGCAAACCGCTCTAACGACTTTTGCATCTTGCAACAATGTGCAACCGTGTTTTGGGAAATAACTACTTTGATAAATGATATTGTTGGTATTTTGATTTTATCAATGGGCAGGTCTATCCGGGGAAGTACCACGACCTCACAGACCGGCGGGAAGACGAAATGTTATACTTCGTTTCTCCCACCGGATAACACTACACACACAGCTCAAATTCAATCAAAATAAAAACACAGTCGCCGAACATCGGGTTCCCGGTCCGAACCGCAACCTCGATGGCCCTTAGACGACACACCATACTTAAACGCACGCATGAGCACATGCGTGGCCCTACCCACAGCGGAGGGCCCAAACCCCGTAGGTTCTGGCTAGCCCACCGGTTCTGCGTGAGATGAAGCTTTAATAGTCTCGGGACTGAGAGCAAAAACATCAGTTAATACAAGACATGACTTCGTTTCGCTTATAAAGTTTAAGGTTTAAGACAATATATTTTCTCAAAAGATTTACAACAAATCACTTGCAGAGAAAGTACAAAAGCTATAGTATGCACAACAAAAAATTTCCGACCTGTCGAACCCAGTAGACTAATTATAAAATTGCTAACAGTAGACTAATTATAAAAAAATATTTTTCGCTTATATATATATATATATATATATATAAGCGAAAAATATTTTTTTTTAATTATGGATTTTGTTTAACGTTAATATTTTTTTTTTTATTATTGGCAAGTAGCGTTAGACGTGTGTTCATTTATTGTCGCGGTGGTAACGACACGCTGTATACATGGAAGATATTTTTGAGAAAAACTATTATTGATGGCCTTTATCAACGCAGTAGAAACCAAAAACAGTGTTTGTTAAAATTTTTGTCTCTTTCATCTACTTACTTGGCTGTCATTTGAGATCGATGGTCATCACATTTTCAAATCAACTTTGGCAAATAATATAGTTAAAAAAATAGTTTTGACTCCCATTGCACCGAGGCAAGGATAATTGTAGTCAACTTGTGGACAATGACAATCAAACAAAAATCTAACACAAATCTCAAACATATCCCACAGCGGACTTCGACCCAGATCAATGTGCGTGAGCCCATAAACCACACGAGGTACACCCGTACCACACCTCATTACTTCGTCCGAATAAGGATTTATTATCTAAGTCGTCAGCATCATCTAGCCCATCACCTTGGGCATCGTTTGATTACTGAAAAACTTTTCTCTTTCGGGTCCCTTCTTCGGCACTTTGCTGGCTGGTCCCTTATCCTTAATTTTATTTTTATCTTGTTCTTTATCCTTGGCTGGTCGGACGCTTTGATTTTTTATTTTATTTTTCTATCAGGATTTCTTCTATTGGTATAGATGTTAACATTGTTGAACGCTGCTCCTTACGACTTATTACTACGATTTAGTTGTGTCGTTGTACCTGGGACTGATGAATATACTGCACCAAGTGATGGTGAAAATATTTCCACTGATGAGCCAGGGGCTGTACGATCAACTGCGCTAGAAGTTGGTGGTGGTGGCGGCGATGAACCAACATGCATTGGTGTGTCAGTTATTGAAGAGTCTCCTTGATCTGGTGCTGGGTCATCAATACCATCTGATTCATCAAGGTTTTGAATGGCAGTAGTCTCCGACTAGAGCAATTCGGCTGGCAGAAAATCTTCTTCAGAAAACACGTCGATATTTATTGGATAAATACCAGTAGCCCTAAATCCCGATTCCCCTTTACTAATAGGTGAAACCATATTAAATGGCTTCCGCAATAAGGATGCTACCCCGTAAGACAACAACCAGTCAGGTCCAGCCATTTTCAAATCTGATTAAAATGTGTTTTAAGATTAAGTTTTCAGCATATGATAGTGGCATTTGAGCCACTTTTCTAATGTCACAAAGTGGTCAATAGCGGGCAATGGGGGTCACCCGATTCTCATTACCCACAAGCACTCTTAAGAAGAAAAAATAAAATTAAAACAAAAGCACACGTGATTTTTTTCAAATCGTTACACTGAATGTCCGAATACAGGGGTATAAAAATAACATACAAGTAGATCAATAAATTTGAGTCAGTGAAAAATTATATCGGCGAGCCGCAAAAGCAAAAATTACCTCTCGTTTCTCGATACCGATGTCATACCGGCGCGGCCGCCCCTGTGCCCCTCGCAACGATTGCGAGGGGCACAAGAATTAAGGCGGTAGGGCCACGCAGCAGTCTCGGCTGTTGCACGAATGGGCAGGCTCATCCGGGTAAGTATCACGACCTTACAGAAGACCGGCGTAAAGTGGAAGTTTAATACTTTCGCGTTTCGTCTGGTGAGCGAGGTAGTCGGAGCCCAATTTTCAAAAGGTTGCCAACGCATCTGCAACCCTCGCGACGGTATTCACTTAACATCAGGTGAACTGCCTGCTCGTTTGGCAACTTATCACATAAAATAAAATAAAAAAAGGCCATTTATTCGTCTCTAGTGACCATTAGCCACTGACTCCCATGCCATTGCCCCATCTTGCCCTAATAGCTCCAGCTAAATTGGATTAAACTATAGTTAATTATATATTATGGCAAACCGTACAAGATTTTACAGATAAAATGATGATGATCCAAAGTTTATATTAAGTTAAAAACCAGCCAAGTGCGAGTCGGACTCACGCACGAAGGGGTCCCTACCATTATCTATAAAAATTATTATTAACGTATATATTTATATATGATGTTTGCATGTGTACTTATGTATAATTTATTAATATGTATTTATATTTTAACTTATTAGTTTCCGTTATGAATTCAGTGTACACCGTTACCCGATGCTACTATTTTTACTATCTCCTATTACTAGGTTGCCTGGAAGAAATCGCTTTTTAGCGATAAGGCCGCCTATTGTACACTTTTGTGTTATTTTTTGTTGATTATGCAATGTCCGTTGTTTGTGTACAATAAAGTATATTTCATTCATTCATTCATTCATTCAAACGCGAAAAAAATTATGTCTGTTGTATGGGAACCCCATTTAAATATTTATCACACGGAACCCTAAAAATGATGTTATTTTATGCCTAAATGTCATTAGGAACTTGTGACATTTATGTATTGCGCACACTTAACTTATTCCAAAAACTCAAATCTTCATCATGAAATTAAAACGCTTGCGCTCATGTAGGTAAGGATCCTTCAATGCGATATTTACAATTCAACAGTGTCGTTACCAATATGCGTGAACTAGCTATTAACCGCGGAGTCGCTCGCGAGGCCAAAGGGAATTAACAATGAGTTTTTATTATACACCAGAATATTTCGCAGATGGCTGAACTTTTTCCTACTGATACTTATCATATAACCTATATTTAAGTGAAAAGTTGGTAAGCGATCAGTTATATTCAGTATATATGTCTTATCTATGCAAGCGATCAAGCGATTCGTCGAAAGTTAAGTGATTTCAAAGTCAAAGTCAAAGTCAAAGTATATTTATTCAATATAGGCCGCTTTTTGCCGCTTAGGCGATTATTGCCGCTCATGGATATTCACTACTCCTGAAAGATTACAAATGCTTGACCAACTTTCAAACAGTAGGTTTCGGCTACCTCGCTCGCCAAACGAAACACGATAGTACTGAACTTTCACTTCACGCCGATATTCTGTTAGACCGTGCAACAGTGGAAGTTATTGCGTGGCCCTACCACGGATTTTTTTTAGATACATACTATTAAAAATATAATTCGTTTTTTTACGTAGTATTTTATATATTATATTTATAATGAATTATATTTCAGACGTAAAAAGTGAACATCGTGATACTCTTTAATTTTTTTTTCTAGAGAATCTATGAAATAATTTCTGTTGGCATTGTTTTAGAGTTAAAATCATATCGATTTAATTTTGACTAGGTACTTGACACTTTAATAAATAAGATGGATCTGTAAATGGAATTCTTTTTCAAATACAAAATCTTACAAGTTCCTCAATCGAGGGTATTAAATCTCCATACAAAGTATTCCTTAGTTGCCAAATATATCCCTATCCACATTCATGCTTCAAGTGAATGGATAACGTTGAAAATAGATAGATATTACACTATCGCTGTTCATTCATGAATCGCGATTGCAAAATGAGATGCTGTTTCGAGTGAAACCGCGATATTGATTATAGAAATGTTTTCGCGAAGCGCCATCTGTTGACATAGATGAAAAGCACAACTTCTGACAATGAACTATGTGTATTGCCATGTCTTTCCTAGGGTAAACGTTATCCAGCAAATTGAAGACATCTTATATTCATAAAAAGGTTACAACTATGCCAGTCGCTGTGGTTTTTATTCACACCATTTTTTTTATTATTTAGCTATCGGGTCATTATCTGTGGAGTTCCCTTGCATTGAAATTTCTAAAAGAACTGGATCCACGCTAACTTGTAATATGTACTATAGTAAAGGTATACGATTCGCATGAAAACGCATACCTGTTGATAAGATTAAAAAAAAGTCAAATAATATTTATATACAGCGTGTCGTTACAATCGCGGCAATAAATGAACACACATATAGAGGATAACTTTTTAATATTGTATTAAACAAATACATTCTTTAAACATCAATATTTGCCGAGTTATTGAATTATCCAAAACAAACAATTTTAGAACATTTGTGAAGGTCACAAAGCATATGATTGGGTTGAATGAATTTGAAAGAGATAAAACATACTGTTAGAAGGAGATATTTGTAGTGCGACGCTGCGCTAACGAATGAAAGTGTCTGAATGTATGAATCAGTCAGTTGTATAATAATGTGTTACAAATTTTGTTTCTTTTTCATTTAATTAGTTTGTTTGTAAAATATATTTTTTTTAATTATGGATTTGTAAATTATATTTTAGCAACTAGATTTAAATTAGACCTTTTAGATTATAAACCATCTACGAAAGAAGATACCAGAAATAAAACATCCTTTTAATAATTTACTCATTTAAATATATATTTCTATAATAGAAATCTGTTACGTATTTTACATAGAATAGTTATTGAGGGCAGTCCCCGCAAACCGTTTTATCATATTAAAAATACAGTAATAATTATAAGAAAATAATAAATTAAATTTAATATTAATAATACAATGATCTTGATAACAATTTAGCTGCAATATCTTTGGCTAAGTAAGATTCCTTTGTGAATTAACAAACAAAAGTGACGTACGGGGCGCCTACTTCGTAATTGCCAGCAACCTGGATCCGGCAAAATTGTATCTAAATCTGTCAATTTGACTGCCATCAAAATGACGGAAGCTCCGGTTGCCGATGATCGAGGTCTTGGCGCGGTTCTCGCACGAAGTCATCACAAGCGGCGTTGGTAAGACTAAAAAGTACTACTCAAAGTTAAAAATGCTTACAGGGCCACACACGATGCAGGCGCCCCGACGAGTAATCAACAACAATAAAAATTAGATTATAAAAAAAAAAAGAGAAAACGAAAACAATCACGCTGTAACATAGCATACACGACTAACCACCCGATTCGTTCATCTAGCAACACCAAATTCACATAGAACACAAGTTTCAACACAACCACCTAGTTTCCAACACTTTTTGCAATGCCAGCACTTCTAATTTTACCTCGAGACATATCACTCTGTAATACACAGGATCGTATGAAAATATTTCGAGTGGGTTATGGTGACTAGCAATTCCATATTACAATACAACCATAGAGGATGAAACAGATGAGATGCCTCATATCAATAAAGGCACGGTTGCATTAAAGACATTCAATACGACAATAAATGATCCTGTGCATTTGTAATTAATAAGTTGCTTCTACTAGATTATTTAATAGTTTCACACACAATAAGTTATTTATTGAGTCGGCCAAAACAGTCCACCGTAGTGTAAGATATTTGAGTAATTCATCACAATATTCTGGCAATATTTTTTAATAACAAACTATTTGTAACCTATAGAAAGTGATATTCCATGTGATAAAACATAAAAATATTTACTTCATACCACTTAATACATAACATATGATCAATTTGTAATAAGGACATTATTTATGAGGGCTTTCATATTAATGTTTTTTTTGGAAAGGATATCTTCCACCACAAATTGACCGCATGTTATGTATGTAAGCACAAAGATTTTTATCATTTGCATTAACAAAACAACTACATTGTAGAACAGTTTTTGCATTGATAGTATGTGTGTTATAATTAATGCATAATGGGAGTTTTTTATTTTATTCACACTCAAATTATTTGCGAATTGGACTTCACAATTTTACATTTCAAATACTTCTCACGTCATTCTCTATTCATAATTGCTAAAATTTAAGGCATTTGTAAACATAAAACCTTAGATTTAATCAACAACAGATAATATATTTGTATTAATAAATAAGCTTTACACACATATTTACAAAAGGGGCGGGCTGCTGCCTTCATGGGAGCGCACACCCTAGAAATATTTTTATTTTCTGACTAACAAAAATTTGTTACTAATTTCCTCATATTAAAGTTGCAACACACAATTTGCCATGGTAACTATAATTTAATAAATATAAACTCAGTTGAAACAAAATTAATATATTGATTGTAACAAAAACAATGTGGTAAATATGTATTGTGTGTTAAACTTTAATAGTTACACAGTCATATTGCTGGATAAAAATGGCAGAGGCATATCAGTGACACATGTTAAAATATAATCTACAATAAATTCACATTCCATCACTGCAACAGCGGTTAATTTGAAAAGCTCAGTAATGCATTTACTAAATGACAAATATTACAGGACTTATTAATAACACTTCAAACAAACAATTTTAGATTAAATTTAATTTATTGGACGCTATTTGAAACAAACGAGTGATTTAGTGTTGTGATATTGCTGTTCGCATATTCCAATATCAGAATGTGCAGCCCCATTTGTTACACCAGTTAGATGTGTACTTTAATTGTGTCCAAAATAAACAGCACACAATTTGGATTACCCAGGAATACGTCAAGTTATCTTGCACTGGGAGACACAATGTTTGTACTCGATTTAGCTGCGTAAATGGTATCATTGCACCATGGAGAGTAAACTTGCGGTCCGTCTTCCCTTCGATATAAATAGAGGACGTTAGATCTCGGTTATATGAACTTTCGATCAGTTCAATCAATGTGATTATGGATTTAATGTCGAAATCACTCTTGGAGCCGACTTGAACTCTCACACGCACTACGCGGTCCGTAGCGAGCGTCCGAGCTGGCGTAGGCACGGCGGCGGGCAGGGGCCGGGGCGGCGGGGCGCGCTACGCTGGCGTAGCCGCTACGAGCGCTGCAGCTCGTAGAACAGCACGTACGCCTCGGGGGAGACCACGTTGCGAGGGCTGATCGGCGTCACTCTGCAACAGATTTTTAAAATACAAAATTTTCTTCCGCAAACGACATCCACAACATCTACAAAATCCACTTAAATCGTGATAAACGTATAGAAAGATTATGATACAAACAACAGTCACTCAGGTAGCTAATCACAGTTTTAACGTTTAAGTAGGTGAAAACTTATTTGGTAGAGATGACTTTAAACATTGCAATAGTTTTGTATCCTTTAATTCCCTCAGGCAGTTTGTTGTATAGTTCAAATACATAATATATCAATATACCTCATATCAAATGCTTTTTTTTAACTAACCCAGATCTATATATGGGTAAATTAAAACTGATTTGGTCTATTGATGTGATATTTTAGTCCATATATTATCATTCTCTTACCATCCTTTACCCTAAAGAGTAAAGAGTCTATGGCCAGGTTATAACTATTGCTCTGTGAGAGTAACAAAAGGTATATAGGTATATTACATTTGTTACCACACACAACCAATCATGTGAGGCTGTGAGTTTTAAGAACTTAAGGATGGAAAGTTCTCAAGGCCGTAGTATTGCCCCGTTATAACTCAGCTATGTAAATTGTATTGGTACCTGGAGTCGTTGTACTCGTGCCACTCGCCCGTGTACGGGTGTTTGCAGTATGCTGTGTAGTGTCCGGAGTAAGTGGTGCCTGAAAAGTAGCAATATCTTAATTAGACGCATTCATATAACATTTCATGTGTACTGTACACATGAAATGTTATGTACGACCATAAAAATAAGAATGAATTTTCAAGACATGCATGTGCTTCATATAAATTCTATGCACAAATAAATTAATTGTACCCAAAACTAGACTGAGTAGAATAAAAAAACTCTATAATGTAACATACACATTGTATGTTTTTACAACAAAATCCCAGAAAAGGTCCAAAATGTATCAAGTGTTAAATTTGAATAAAATTGTAAAGAAATGTGTTAAAGGCTAAGGCTATTAGTGATTACATAAATGATAATTACACTTTGGAAACAAATCGATCGCTCTCGAATTCTGTATTGAGTAATTGAATTCGATTTGGAAACATAACGGGGCGCATACCCGAGTGGTTGCTGACGGCGTATAGGTTGTAGATGGGGCGGGAGCCACGCGCGGCCGCGAACGGCGCCATGTCCAGCCCGCTCAGAGGGAACTCCACGCACACCGACAGCTTGCCGCGGAACCGCTCCGTCGGCGAGAATCTGCGCACAATTGCAAGCATTTTATGGAAACCGTAATGGAGTAACCATAATCTTTGCAAGTTCCTCAGCCAACATATCAGAGCTGAAGTTTCGTACTTGTCCGGTACACGTGAATGTACGATAACCTAAATGCCTCCATTTTTAATCCGATATAGCATTTTTTTAAAGCTTGTTACATCATCCAAGTTATATCAGGTATGTATGTGCTTGTAATAAACTGCTATTATTCAAATCTCTATCAAATGTTACAAGTATAAAAAGAAAAATGTACAGTCATATTAAAATGGCAAATATAATAAATAAATAAGGTCAATACCTTATTTGCCTTAACTTTAAGGCAAGGTGTTTAGTACAAATGCTCATGATAATGATGATAGTCAAGCAGTGGCGAGTCTGTGAAATGAACAAATTAAAACATGTCAATAAGGCATGTTTCCCGCGTGGGGAGAGGGGCTGACCTCTTGAGATGCAGCACAAGCACCTGCGGGAACTTCTGCACCGTGAACCACTTCAGGCACTTTCTTCGCACTCCGCACTTGGAGCACGTCTGCCAAATGAAAAAGCGATTCCATCTCATATTTTGTATGTTTTAAGTGAATTATGAAGGCTTCAGTTGTTGCACGAATGGGCAGGTTTATCTTGGTAAGTACCACGACCTCACAGAAGACCGACCGGCTGAATGAGGCTGGGCTCACTATTTCCACAGAAGAATTTGGTTGTGCCACGCAGCCGCTTCTGCTGCTCGAATGGGTACGTTCTTCCGGGGAAGTACTACTACCATTTTTACGTTCTCTTACTATTTTTCATAAATATAACACACACACACACACACAAATATGCTAAAGCATGAAACGCAAAAAAATTCGTTAACTTTCTCGGACCTTTACACTGATTTATTAGTATTTGTACTAGCTACATAACACGGGACACCTAAATGCGGATTGTTTCATAATTTTTAATTGTAAAAAGTTGGCGTGCGAGCGGACGGTTCAACTGATGTTAATTGATTAATGAACGCCGCCTATGGGCATCAAAAACACGCTTGTGGAGTCACCAGCCATTAAAAAGTTTGTCCCAGTTACCTCATCAGACGAAAGTCATAAGTCATGTCAACTCATCCATTTGTGGTCCTACCACAGTTAGATGTATTACTCCTGTATAGATTATTCCACAATCCCATCATAGGACACAGTTGAGATTTGTTTCACAGTCTCTAACGAGAACCCAATTCGACCGAACCCATCGATTCAAAGCAAACGTTTCTGCACTGACCGGCTTCTCGTCTCCGTCGAGCTCCTCCTCGCGCACGAAGTGCTGCAGGCACTGCTGCAGCTTCAGGTTGCCGGTGCGGGACGGAATCGGCAGGCTGACGAACAGACACACAAATCTAAATTAATATTTAGAAAGTTACACGGTACATTTTAACAGATTTTTTTTTGTACTTGGAAGAGGTAACGAAATATTTTCCACCGCTGCGGGAATCGAACCCACGTGTTTCGGATTCGCGCCCGGACGATTAAACCATTAAGCTATAAATTGCCACACCAAATGCAATCTCAACATATTTTATCTACATTGTTTATTCGCATTTTTGAATGCTACTTCAAGCAAATTAGGATAATCTTTTCCTGTATTGCTAGATGTAGGGTGTTAAAATAAATAAACAAATTATAAGTAATGCCCGGCGCATCTCTTGTATATATTCTTTACAGCATAATAGCAAAGCAAAAATTAGACGTCCAAATTTTAACGTTTCATATCTCAAGTGCAGATATTAACACTATACAAATATCAATTTGAAGGATTTATATTAAAGTGTAGATCCGACTGAAGGATGGTGGGGCTTTTTGATATTTTTATGTCATTAATTAAACATTTGAGGTTGTTACGGCGCCACCTATCATCTAAAGGATGCAAAATAAGTTCAACAATCTGCTTATAGACTTTTGCTGCGTCTCTGCTTTATTTACATTTTTATTTTCTCTGTTCAACGTCTTTTCCTAATAAATTATTTTGATTTGTTAAATTACTTACTACAATATATAGCTTCCGATCAGTCATGAGTTTTTAAATTATTTCAAAATCTTACGGAATCCATATAATTAGTTGTCTAAACAATTAACAGAGAGAACATTCGTCAGAGAATGGCGAAAGAAGGAGAAATGAAGAATGCGAGGGCACCTGAGGTCCCAGAAGGGGTCGAAGGTGACGCTGTCGTGGTTGCAGTGGGTGCAGCGCAGCGTGGACTTGAGCTGGCCCACGAAGATGTCGCCCACGCGGCTGTCCTCCATGCGCAGGTAGCGGGCCCACGCCTCCGCCGCCTTCGCGGAGTCGCTGCCCACGGAAAACAAAGCTACATTTGCAACACCGCAACTTGGCCTCGGCTACTTATTACCACTTCAGCCAATAAAGAAATTCTACAAATAATTTATATTTGCGTAAATATGCGTAAATATTTCAGGACAATAGTTTTGGATAACTAACAACAGAAGACATAAATCTGATCAATAACAAAGTCAATTATATGAGTTGGCAACGCACATACTATACATAATGTAAATATTTGCTAATATTCTTAATTTTATTTCGTGTATTACTTTTATTTTCTTTAAATTATTCATTGTTACACTTATATGAATTCCTTATAATGTATAGTAGAAGGTAGTTCTTAAAATATCATATTTAATCATTATAAAATTTGTAAGGTTGATTTAATAGTAGATGGTTATTGCATCATACATATTGGGCGGGCAGTGACCCCTATCGCTCTCTGTTCGTCCGCTTTTGTAGTGTGCACATACGAGTTCGTTACGTCGCTATTTAAAAACCTAACGGTTGTACTTATTTTTCGAGTTTCCGAATAAATGTCCAGTTCAACATAAAGCCGTGTTCCTTAATTTAGACCGCACCCTGTTCAATATGTCTATATTACATTTCCGATCTAGGAAAAACAATGATAATGATGCTCCATCCTGCCTCTTGCGCCAGAGGGTGTGGTTTCGATCCCCACTACAGGAAAAATATTGTGTGATGAACATAGTTTTTCCAATGTCTGGGCATTTATATATGTATAATATGTATTTATTTATAAAAAAAAGATATGTTTAAGTATATTTATCAGTGTTCTAGTTATCTTATAGTAGTTTCATATTATGACCACTATTTTAACGCAAGCCGTAATGTGTTGAAGTCCGCGGTAGGCGGTCGTCAGTTAACATCAAGTGAACCGCCTAGTTAAAAAAGGTCATTGACTGCATTGTGTCAAGGTCAAAGATACCTTAGACTGTCGTCGATCTCGGTGAGGATGGGCTTGGGCTTGACGGTTACGCGGTTGACATCTTCGTGCATGCCCTCCAGTAGGTAGCGAAGGAACTCCTGGAAAGTAAATTACCTGTGTCAATTTTTACATAAATATAGGGTAATTTTATTTTAAAATCAAATGCCCATCTAATAGTATAAGTAGTTTTAAATGATAAAACTGAAATAACTGCGATAGATCAGTGTACGGACACTGCTCACTTTAATTCAATATACTCGAGCAATCAGAGTTCGAATCCCGTTGTAAGCACCAATAAAATTTTCAATTTAAAGTGCTGACTTATCATATGCTCAGGGATCAAGGAGGTCGTCTTGAGGAAACCTGCATATTTCGAAATAATAACAAGATATTTGGAAGATATTTCCGCCGAATTATTGATCATGTGCGCCAATCCGCTGTGGATTCGCGTTGTGGATTATGCCCATTTTTTTTATCATTTTATAAGGACAATAATTTTTTTTATCATTTTAAAAGGTTTTCACACGGGACAAGTATATGTGGTTCATATATAAATAATTAATCCCGGTCTAAATGTCTATTTCCAAGGAGGATCGACGTCAGTCAGGCCATAAACAACATGATTCTGATTATGTGCCCATCTAGGTGAGATAAGGACACGAGGTAGAGTGAGAAAAGTAATTTTACTTATTTACAGTTATTAAATAGAACGTATCTTTTAACAATCTTTTGTAATGTCGTCGTTTTTGTTCGTGAAAATCCTCTCTTTGCCAATAAAAATATTTCGCGGGCTTAATTAATTGGCGAAGATAATTGCGTTGGAATGGCCCGAAACAGGACCTCTTCAAGGGAAAAAAGCCTTCGCCTCGTCTAGGCGTGCCTTATCTCTCCAAACGCAACAAAGGACCAGCCAAGTCGAGCGGTGAGGGCGCAGCAATTCAGTTCGATGCGATTCGCTTCAAATTATCAAAGCTACGGAATCGAGTGGCAAAAGATCAATCCAAGTACTCGTGAATAACGAACTATGTAAATATGATGATTTGTCGTTGGGGTAAAAGGGATCTGTAGAGTTTCTGTGAGACCATTAAAGCAAAAAATTTGACCCCTGAATTTACGGATTCTTTGGTCTACTTAATCTTTTTTAAAGTGAAATAAGCATTTTGATTGATTTAGGGTTGTTGACCTAATATCAAAAACATCGAAGGGGTAGATACGGTCAGAGATAGATTTGGAAGCATTAAAAATAACGATCTTAAAAAAGTTCAGAGCAATGGTGGCATCTCTCGTTACAAATTATTCATCGTTGAATGTTGGAATGGAATAGAAACCAGAAAACGCAGGTTCGAATCCCGCACAATGGGAAGTCTGTTGTTTAATTTCTTTTTATTCGTCTATTTAATTAGAATTTAATACAAGTAGATTTTAAAATTTATTTTGTTTATTTTTATTATAGTATAAGGCTATTAGAGTGTTATATAATATAATTGTTTGTGAATTGTTTAACTGTATTTTATTTGATTGATTTTTAATTTATATTTAATTCGAGTATTACTATTGGCTTTTGCCTGAAATAAAGAATAACTAAAATTTACAATTCAAAGTTCATCTCGAGTGCAGAGAGTAGCACTATAAATCAAAATGAATCATAGATGTGGTGGTCGGTTGTGGTCACCTGCGCGTCCTGTTGGCTGTAGCCCATGAACCTCGGCGCGAAACGCTGGACCTGGGACTTGAGGCTGGTCGTGTTGACGACCGCGTCCCGCTCGCCGCTGCGCCACAGCTCCTTGATCACGGTCGCGAACGCTGCGGGTGGACGTCGGTAACTGGGTGAGATGATGATGCCGTGGGTTCGATTCCCACACGGGACAACCATTTGTGTGACCAACAGATAGTTGCTTGCGTGTTGGCCCGCGTGAAATTTATGTTTGTGAAAGGTGTTTACAACACAGGGTAATGTTATCCTAAAGTAAGGGCAATGTTTAAAAAAGAAAACAGGGTAAATGGACTTCCTACGCGGTGTCAAGGTCAAACAGGACTGGCTCCCATTTTAAACAACCATCGTCATCCGTGATACCTCAGTGGGCGGACGCTCGCTTTTAATTCAAAATACTCGAGCAACCCGAGTTCGATCTCCGGTGCCGGCACCAATGAAATTGCTCAGAAAACGTGCTGTGGTAAACGAAAACATCGTGAAGAAACCTGCATATTTTCGAAGAGAGTGTATTGGGCCACAGTCTATGGCCCAATACGCTGTGTACAGAGGAGGCCTTTGCCCGGCAGTGGGACTTGTATAAGCTGTTACTTTACTCTACTCTTTAATTTTACTACCAGCCGCGACCGATTTCATTATTGTTCGTCGTCATTAAATGATACATATGAATTGCATGAGGTGGATGCGATCAACGGATAATAAAAATAGGTAACAACTTTTAGAGCCTTTGATGAGCCTATTTAAGTCTAATTTTCAAGTAAATAGGGTATTTAAGTCTAATTTTCAAGTAAATAGGCTATTTAAGTCTAATTTTCAAGTAAATAGGCTATTTAAGTCTAATTTTATTAAGTCAATGATAATTACACAATAAAAAATAAATTACAAATGAAACTAATTTTTACGGATTTATCGCGTTTATTTCTAATTTTAATTCCCGACGTTTCGAACCGTTTACAGCGTTCATGGTCACGGGACGGACTGAGGTTTAGACGTCTGATTGTCATAGTTAACTATGTCTTTAACGTATTCATTTTTATGTAAAACGTTGACGTTTCATAAGAACGCGCAAGCGTCTATGGGAATAAATATATTTTTGATTTTTTGATTTTGAATAGATTGATAGCACTGACGAAGTATAACACTGCAACTTCACGCCGGTCCGCTGTGAGGTCGTGTCGTGGTACTTCCTCGGACGGAGCTGGCCGTCCGTGCAACAGCGGCGAGTGCCGCGTGGCCCCACCCCGGTAGCCGTGTGGACGTTTGGGCGGTCGCTGTACCTTTGATGAGGGCGCCCTTCATGCACGAGAGCGTGGTGTTGATGTCCGCCGCGTGTTTGTCCTCCGTCACGTATTCGAGGAGCGGCCGCGTGTTGGAGAGGCACTGCAGCACGCTGTTCATGAAGCACGTGTTGCCGATGTTGCGTAGACCGTTCAGCCCTGTGCAGAGGTCACAGTGGGGCATAGAAGATTTTCTTACGACGAGTTGGGAGTCACGTGGGGAAAGTGGTTAAGCAATTTGTGGCTATAATAAAACGAACTTTTTAAAAACGAGACAATAAGGCACTTTAGTCGAGAGAAACTGCTTCTTAAGTTATTCTAAGAGTTTCCGCTTGGTATAAACTGTGAAGTTAGATTTGTAGGAAAACGGATAATACAGGCTTCTGCGGCGGGGGTCTTGAGTTCGATTCCCGAACAACCGAAGTTATTTGTGTCACCCGCTATAATTGTCGCGGATGTGGGTGTCGGGTCGGTCGTAAAAAACATAGCCAAAACTGCCTACAACATATTAAAAACAACCCATCATTTCGGAAATGGTGATAAAGTGGTAAAAGTTATAAAAGTGCCTAAGTCTAATCCCAGTGATTAGACTTCACAGCCACACAGGAGATTTGAAATCTTGTAATAATATAATAGACGTGTAATCAAGTGTCGTTAGGGAAGTAAGCGAAAGCCCGGCCGATTGACGCCCAACTTTCGTGCGGCATATCCTTACCGCCAGTGAATCGACAAGGCATTCGCCACCTGGAAAGGAAACTCACCGCTTGTGTGGGCGGACCCTCGATCGCTCCGCGGCTCAGCGGACTCGGAGCGCTCGCTGCTCCGTCGCAGCCCGCTCGGCCCGCTCTTGCCGCCGGCCAATTCCTGCGCAGTGCCAAATTGCGGCTGAGCGGCTGAGCAATCGAGCCACTGAGCATGCTAAACCGCTCGACAGCATGCTGCGCGCAAACGACGCTCTTGTGCTGAGTCATGGTTCATTTACTCATCCCGTCTCGTGCGTTGACAAGGCTTTGGGGAAAAACCTTTCCAGCGTGAGTCACGGTCGGTCTATCCCATTTATGTGTACTTCGAATTATTATTTCAAGAACGGAAAATATCTAGTCTAAAACATGCAAAAGTTTTTAATTTCAGACCATTTTTAAGACAGGATGATGTATGTTTTCATAGACACTGTTCATTACTTCATTACTGTTCGTTGCTAAAATTTCTAATAAGGGACCTACAGTAATACTTTCCACCGATTACTTTTTACCAACACATTAAGTTAGGACCAGCATATAAACAGTCTTTTCTTCACCATTTTCTTCTGTGAAGTATACTTCTAAGTTGCAATGGAAGTAAAGAATAAATTCTCAACTCGTTCGAGGTAGATCCAAATAAAATATCGTTGACACGATTATTGCATGTTAAGTTATAGTGTAAATATTGGATTTATCTCGTCGAGAAAATTCAAATTAATGTCATAACCAAGGCAATGCGTCACAGAAACCCAACAGACAAGTAAAATCTAAAAGGACAGTACACATAATAATTGTCTCTACCATATTAGGCTACGTGTTCCATTGTTACAAAACATCATTAATCTCCCCTAATACAAGATAACGAAAGATTAACGCAACAAAAAGAGCAAAAATAATCGAATGAATATATCTAATAGAAAAATAACTAAAAACATTAACGAAACATAGATCGACAGTTATTATTTTGTTATTTAGTGTTATTTTACTGAGTATTTGAATAATAACAAACCCACAAAACACACATACACGCACACGCGTCTTAGACAAGCATGCACTTCACGGGGATAAACAACAAATTTGCGATCACAAATATATTTAAAACCTGCAAGTTATGGAATGGAATAAGTTCTACGATTTTTAAAAATGCTTCGGTTCGTAACATTCACGACAATGGTCGTGAACGAGGATTATGCAAATAGTTAAGGTCTTTCCGTCAGGTCTACCCGATGGTTCACGATATAGACTAATTAAAGTTTGAACCCCGTAGTCAGCGCCTTACAAAATAGGGCTGTTGTGCCACCTTTTGGCGCCTTTAGTACCGAATCATTGGCGAATTGGGTTTAGGGGCTATCAGGATTGGACGCAACGGCAACACGGAGTAGTCACATGTTGACACTGGTTACTTAGACATTTGCATGGAGTAGTAGATAGTAGACTTTAAACTGCCATGAGCTTTATTACTGCTTAAGAGTTTTACAACGGATGAACAGAAAAACAAATAACAAAATCCGAATGCGATTACAGCCCGATTTGATTTTTACGAACATAAAACGAAATGCACTGATAATACGCGGAGTCTAAGAATAGGACCATCGGCATAATCAAATGGGCCTAAGGTATCAACACACAATTACAAAGCAGACGCGTACACCAAACCAACAAACCGTCCAAGCACCAAATCATTAAGTCGGAGACAATAACGATTCGCTCGAGAAGTATAATATGCAAGGTTAAATTACTTAAAAACAAAATTCATTAGCTATTGACGACATCAAAAAAGTCTTACATTGACAAGATTTCACTTTGAAAATAGTTGAAAACCGTATTTAAAAGTTTACAGATTGAAAATAATATTTGAACAGATTTTTAATCAAGCTCTCCCTTCATTGGACATCATTTAAGCTACTCGCTTTTGCGGGTTTTTTCCACTCGATTGAATGCCTTAAAGACTGATCGGTTAGGAAAGTGAGCGAATCGCCATTGCTGGCCGTGCGATAGATGGTGACAGGTCGCCGGTGGGTACCATTCGGGGTGGTGTCACCGCGGCGGGGGGCCTGTGGTGGGGCGCGGGGGGCGGGGGGCGCCTCTCGCCCGCGCCTCTAGCGACGGCGCCTCGCTCTAGTGTGCGCATCATTAGGTCACTAACATGGTATTTGTGGTTCGTCTAGTTTACATCATACAGTACGCAACTTGGATGAAAAAATTCTATTCGATTCTAGTTCAAGTGACAAGGGGTTCCGGTTGTCGCTGCACGGTGCTTCAAAGCTAATGAGCGTTTTGAGGAAGACAAAAGACATTTACTTTTAAGATTTTTTTTTGGGGATCTATACATCACTTTGTCTATTGTAGACGATTTCGATATCAAACTGTTCTGCTATTGGTTTTTTCTGAATTAGATCACGCGTTTAGGCATCTCAATAGCCGTATAATATACAGAGTTGTAAGAATCAAGAAAAGAGTCAAGGCAAACGCTACACTATAGCTATGGGCTTTCAAATGAAAATAAAAAGTTAAGAATTGTCTAGTAGCTGGACCTTAAAAAGAAGTTCCGAAATATAGAAGAGTCCAGAACCCACTACACGCGATGGCAACGGGAACCCCTGATAAACGACGGTGTATTACGTCTAAGTTACTTATGTAAGCTACGCGATCAGAGTTAAGGGGATTTAAGGACCTGGTAGGTATTGAGGGCATAGCTTCGGCCGGCCGGGGGCATGCGCGGCGGCTCCAAGTAGCGACAGCCACACCTCATTGCCGAGGGCGGCCAGTAGGCTGGTCGTGACGCATGCCAGGAGCACCAGCTCGTAGTAGGTCAGCATAGACCGCGGGGTGCCGACTCCCGTCCAGCTCGGCCAACCTCCGAGTGCGGACGTAACCTAACCTAACGGGAAGCTGCACTGACACTAGCGGCTACCGCTGCTCCTCAAGTTCTTGGTACGAGCTGACACCTTGACGAGTCGAATCTTGACGTGGGAGTGATAGGCGCGATGGAATCCCGTTTGGAAATCTCCACTGTGCAAGCGAGCCGATAGCGATTTGGCCAGGCCTTCCGGATCCGAATCGCGCGCAGATAGTCTGATATAATATTTATCTTTTCACTCAAAAGGCTGTGACGAGTACGAGGTCTTTACGTCTTTGCGCACAGATCGTACGTATATCCCGTTTAAAGTTTTTCACTTGTTTTGTTTTCACTTTTTTTTCTGAGGCAATTGGGTTTATGAAAGATTGTTTATTAACATTGATAGCCTGAATCAGATTCAATTTTTCCTATTGCTTGTTTTTTTATGATACAAATGGAGTTTATTAATGAAATGCTATGAAATAATTAAACGTATACAATATAAAACTTTCTAGTTAAATGATAAAAGGGAATAGATAAACAGCCTATGAATAGTGTCTGGAATCTACAGGTTTTTATTTTCATTGACAACTAAGCTTAGTGTGTCCGTCGGAATACGGTAAACTTGTAACATTAAGAACACAGCTATTTAACAGTGTTTTAAAGCAATTATAAACTTTTTCTTAATAACACTTAAGGCGGGAAGGGAATGGCGTGGTAAAAAATGAAAAAACTGACGTGTGATTTGTAATCGGCGAGTAAACCGAACAAAATATTAGGCGCCGAATGAAACTTAATTCGCAGACTTGAGGTGTAACAACGATTCACTGTCAAGTTTAAACGTTCAACGTCTTGTACTCGGCGCAAAGGTTATGTAACACAGTAGTGTTCGACCTGTTTCACGTCACACTGAAAAAACCCCGCTAAAAGTTGATTTCCTTCATTTTAATCTAGCGATAAAACCCGTTCCTATTGCGCTCACAATAAGAATTCACTTTCTATTTCCTTCAGGTCTTGGCAATGCCGACGCACTGATATATTTAAGAATCGAGCGTACAAGGTCACATTCGATAGATTAAAGTAAAATCACTTCGAATCCAAAGTGATCAGACAGCGCGGGAAGAAGAGGTTTGAAAAAAAAAAAAAGCTGACACTGACAGCTAATTTAGCGCGAAACAAGTAAATATGGCGACGGGGTTAAGTGATCCCCGCGGGGAAGAACATTTCGCGCGTTCGTGACGTCACGAGGCGGCCATCACGAGGGCGGGCCGCGCACTGGACCGACGGCGCCTAAGGTGCAAAGCCAAAGACCCATTGCCAAATTTCACAATCGCAGCTACGTAACGCGGAGGCAAACGCCCATAGATATTATTTATCTGTAATGTATTTATCGATGGACGTGATCGTCTCTCGTTCTTTATCTGCGATAGGCTAAGTAAAAAGCCACGGGTGTCAGGGCCGCGTGCGCCTCCAATTAATGGCCACACGCGAAAATTCTCTGAAGCGACGACGGCAGTAGTAAATGGTCGGTGCAAGCGCGCTGTCTATATGACCTCCACAGTAAGTCATGTCGCGGAAGTATTTTTTTGCGTTATCAATAATCAAACAATATTACTTTATCAGCTGGTAACAATCTACCGTACATGGCCTACTAAGGTTGGCGGAAGCGTGGATTTTCCTTCATTTTATAGGTATAGGAACAACACAGGGTAATGTAAAACTACGGAAAGGATATATAGTGGAAACAATCTTGTTTAAAAACTAAATTAGAATTCCGGTAGGGTTGTGGAAGTCTAACGCCCGGTTTCTGAACCACTGATCATCGTAGAAGTCAACTAATCAGCTGTCAAATGGCTTTTCAAATGTTATTTGAGTTGCCAAAAGGAGTGTTAAACTCTCAACGAGTTTTTCAACATTTGGAAGACACTTTCAATTGCCTAGCCAAGCGGGTCTAAATATAAAAAAAGTAAAGCTTCTGAAATATATCACGACTAATGTCATTTTTGGATCCATCGGTTTTACCGAGTCAAATGTTTACCAACTGTCGCCTCAACGTAACACTTCAAAATGAACATGACTGAATAAAAAGCAAATTCCGGGATTTAAGTTATGCATTATTTAAAGGTCCTAATCCAAGTAAAAGGCGCGAACCGCATTCTATTCCAAACACGGCATCCAATAAGACGCAAATCCATCCGGGTTCAAATCTACAATGAAATAAGGCAATATCTGTTTGATCTTCATGGTTGGCACACACATGCACCGTGATTATTTTAAAAGAAAGTTATTCCTGTGTAAAATTCTGTAATTATTATTTTTTATTATTTATTTATTTATTTATTTTATTTCTCTCAACGAAACTAATTCGAACAACTTACACACGTGGTGAATATAACAGATGCAAGACAACACGAGTTACGTGTTTAAAGTCAAATGAAAAAAGGGCATAAAAAGTATGTTTCCGAGTCGTATCGATGGTGAGTTTATAGAGTAGGCAATGTGTTTCAGTACAATATAATAATTATGTGCAAAACACGTACATCATTATATTCAGATTATGGATCGCGGTGAATTTAAAGAAACTTATGCATTAGCTAACTCCGAGAGTAAGGTCGAGAGAGTCAAATAAGGGGGTGATCTCACAGCGTCGAACGAGCCGCAACATAGAGCGGCGTTTGTTCCCAAATATGGCCGCGCATTCACCGCCCGCGGTCCTTGCCTCGGTCTCAGATTTAATCTGTCCTACCTCGTATTACGCACAGGCCTCTACGCGACGAGCGGAATACCAACGAACCAAAACGTTTGCGGTAAAAATACACACTTATAAAATCAACTTGCAAAATTATCAAAAATAATTCAACTGATTGGAATTTGACAGGGTTTAGTTTTCGAAATTCAAGTTAGCCGGCCAGTGTTCGGACGTGTCGTTGCCACAGCGAGGCTATTGTGCGAAAAGTATCTATCAATAAAACATCATATACATGGTAATAAGAATAGAATAATTTATAACGTTCTCAAGGCCAAACGTATTATAAAATGTCGGAAGCATTTGCGCAAACACACTTACTCGTAATAGGAAATAAATAAACGGAAGGATCGCAAATTAGCAATAGGGTGTAGTTATAATACACTCGGACACATACACCGAGAATAATTTACGTCGGACATATCGCAAATCTTAATTTCCGATATATAAAAGAAAAAAATATCACCGCCATAAATTACGCACATATTAAACACGTTTTCTTCAATATTTTTATGTATATAAAACTTTATAATAAATATCATTTGTAAATAAAACAAATAAAGCCGACGTTACTGACAAGAAAAAAAGCGCGCGAGTTTTCGCAAAATGGCGACACTTCTGATGGCGGCAAGAAAAACGTGGTCCCAGTGATGATTTCCCGCCCGATTTTATTTCTGGACGTTACATTTCGCGCTGTTGTATTATTAGAATGTGATTTTCTATTGGAAGGAGGACACGAGACGCCGCCGTATTGCGAGACGTGTTTCGGAAAATGTGTATTTATTAATGTATGCACTAAAAGTGATATTTATATTTGAATAATATCTGATTTTTTTTTGCTTTGTCTACGGCACAGTTTAGACATTCAGGCCCTTCTTGCCATTAAAGAATAGAACGCGGATGGTTTTTCTAAACCTTTTGACTACTTTGTGAATGATTGGAGATAATGTATGGAGTGATTTTTTTTAATGAAAATAAGAAAATGTGCTCTTTATTCTTAATAAAAGAGAATCTTTTTGGAAAGAGCGTGCCCCATCGAGATTCGATTTAAACTGTATCAATAGCAGAATAAACACAATGCGCAGTTAGTTGAAAGACGAAGGTCGAGGCAGTCGGCGTGGCGGGTAAATGACTCACTTTGACGTAATGAATGAACGATAAATACAAAATTAATACAGTAACTGAATCCGTAATTTGAACTTGCCCCATTGTGGCAATGTCATTGTATAATTGGTAGTTAACAAAAGATATTCGTTGCGAACAGCAACTCGCCCATTTGCCATGCACCATTAGCAACTTTAAAACCGAAAAATTGAAGTTGATGAGCGCGCACATGCATTTTAATTTTAATGTTCATGATAAAAAAAAAACAAACGATCTTCATAGTTTAGGAAGACGCTTGCGTATGACAAAGATGTGTTGACGTAAATAGGAATAATGCCTTTCGTAGAAGTTTTCTATAAACACCTATCGCTTTGAGAAGGTAGACAGGTAGAGATAAATGTAGGAATGGTCTTGGGGCTGTTTTGGGACTTTTCTGGAGGATGTTCCGACGTGCCAGCCGGCTCGCGCGCTTACGATAGAAATTAGCGATAGAAGCATCCCGCGCACGCACACAGCCGCGCGGCCGCGTTACGCACACGAATACGCGACCCCAATAGCGAAATGCCAACGAACCCGGCTCTTAAAACTCAACCCGTGACGATCTAGCGCGTATAGAACCCTAATTGTCGAACGCGTTTCACCAGGAGATCAGATCAGAGAGGTAGCGCCGAGACAATCTCATGTTTAAAGGAACTAGTCGCTTAGAGAGATTGATATTTACTTAATAATCATCAATTATTATAGATAGATAATATTAGACAAAAATAAGTTCTACTATGCCATTAACTTGCAGGTTTTAAGGAAAATAGATCAGGAAGCACGTATTCTTTGATGGAACATGAAATTTTTATTGCACAATCACAGAATACGGCTTGCCCACTTAGAGGGGAATGGTTACTTACCGCTTTAATCTCCTCGTAGTCTTTCGTGTCCAGAATCCTTCTTCTGGTGGACGGCGTTCCGGGGCTGGAGTCTTCGGTGGGCTCGCTGAATGTACTCTCCGTGCTCGTTTCCATTGACTTGCCACCGTCTTCCGTTACCGCTTTCTCGTCTACCTCCTTCTCGGTGCGCCTCTTCAGATAGTTCTCGTGCTCGAAGGTTTTGTTCTCGAAGCCCGTGCCGCTGGGCGATTCTATATCGTTCTCCAGCCCTAAGCGTTCGTCCAACTCCGAGTCTATGTACTTCAGGTTCACCTTGCTTTTCCTGGTCTCCGGTTTGATGGTCAGCTCGGCTTTTGTCATCTCGTCATTTATAATATCGTTCAGCTCCACTTGTTTCGACGCTTTCGGCGTGGACGTGCCCGAAGCGATGGGCTGCGAGATCTGTATGTAGGATGCGAAGTTCGAGGTATGTTTGGGGGCCTTCATCTGTTTCTCTATATCGTTTTTCAGGGATTCCTTGACTTTCACTTCGGGACTGTCCCTAGCCTGTTTCTTTCGTTCGGTGTAGTCCAGGTCGCCGTTCTCCACTTGGATCACCGTGGACTTTTCCAGGATTTTGCCGATCGGATTGTTCGGGTCGAATTGGCTCTTGATGCTCGCCAACTTCTCGGACGGCAGCTTGGCCGTGAAGGAGGTGGACATGGTGGTGCTCTTCTCCGCGGCCGCCGGCCTGGCGAGCGACACCGGCTCCGATATGGTTTTGCTGATGGACAGATCCGAGTTGGAGTTCGACCTGGAACCGGAGGAGCCCACCTCCCACCTGTGGCCGACGCCGTTCTTCTCCACGTACGGCAGGTGGACGGGTACGGGCTGGTCGTCTTTGGGCACCACCTTCGTGTAGCCAACGGTGCCGTTCTCGCACTCCTTCAGCTGGCTAAGGTACTGCTCGACGGAGGCCTTCGCCGTGAACCTAGATTCGTTCGCTGGCAGCTTGGTGACCGTCATCTTGGGGTCGAACCTCTTGCGGATTTCGGAGACCGTGGGCACCTCGTTGCCGTTGCTGTCCTTAACGCCGTTGCTCATAGAGCCCCTTTTGCTGTGGCCGGGGGTGGGCGAGCCCTCCTTATACCATCTCCTGCCCTCCGGTTTCTGGCGTTGTTGAAAGTGACACTTAAACACTGCTCGCACGGGCCTCAAAGTGATGAACTGTTCACATCAAACATGCAATGCTTTTGCTCCGTCATCAAAATGAGGCCCGTGGAAGTGACGAGGGCTGCTAAAGATCATGGTAAATTTATGACTAAATGCGCGATGTGACTGTGTGTGTTAGTTCCATGCCACGCCGGGGGGCCCTCGGTGAGCTTTAGCGCACCGTGGACATTCCGACATATCTACTTGTTACTACTGAGCCATACCGATGGAGAGGCAAACGAAGACATAACTAATAAATTATGCTCCCGGAAAAAGTGGTTTAGACTCGAGTAGGATGGTTAATTCTGTGTTCGCCTTTCAATCGGTAATGCAATATATTGTTTCAAAGCTGAAGATAGTAACATTGCTCTCTTAGTGCGATACTTGTTAATGAACGTACACACACACACACGCGCGCACACGCCGTTGTCTGCCTGCGAAATGTATTGAGGAAACGATAATTTTTATACACAACCGCTAGACTTTAAACATAAACTACAGTGTCGAGCACCTTAAAAATAACGTAACAATTTTTAAAGTGTTAATTTTATTGCGAATTTAAATAATTTCTACTTTTAAAAGAAATGTTAAGATTGTATTTCTTTAATTAGAAATGTTATGTCTTAAATTTGCGTCAATATTGGGTTTCTCCAAATCGACTGTTAAATGGCGAGAATACAAAATTCAATTGGAACTCTTTCGCCAACCACCATTGTATCGGGAATTCGACGTCGGAACGTCGGACGGAATCTCGACATCGCATAAAGCTATTCACCTATAAGTTTAGCGTGCCAAGAAAACTGGTGCATGTAAAGGGGGGTCACGGGGGGGGGGGGGGGGGGGGGGGGGGGGTGTGTGTCGAACTACTCATCTGTCGGACAATACTCGCAAACACCACCACTTAGGCATAATATTTTCAGTTTTTATTTTTTGATTTACGTAACCGCTACGTTTAGTTGTAAGAGGTACAATAATAAATTCCGCAAATATTATTAGTGTCATTACTATATTTTGCGTAGCGATGTTAGGAAAAAATTAGCAGTAGTACAATAATAATTTTAACATTCTTCGTTTGGCTTTCATTTAGAAATTGATGACAGCATTTATTGATTGGTAGCGTTACTTTGTGAACTGTGAGTTGTGAGATTTTGGTGCGGGATAGAAAATATGAGATGACCTACTGTTCACGTCAGACGTAAAGCTGTAGTCGTTGCTCGTTCGACTTGAAACTTGGCACCGATATGTACCGACACAAAATCGAAGCTTACTTGAAACTATTCTATACATGTTATAGAATGGTCGAGAACCTAATTTGGGTCACCGACTATCATGTCGGATACCAATGTCGCTGCCTACCCACCCCAAAGAGCTGAGAAGCGTGACTTTTAGCCGCTGGTTTAGCGCGTCGGACCGTTGGACTCTTGCTTTCGGCACCCGCGGCCGAGGCGATAAGGTCACTTTTGCTCTCGTGCGAAATGGAAATGCCGCGTAATCGGCGGAAAAATTCAATTTAGCGCTCGATTCAAGCTTTCTGTAAACGCAGTGTGCAGTGACCGAGTGGCTAGGGGACGTCAGAACCAAAGTTGTGTGCAAAAGTTACCGATAAACTTGCATAATCATATGCAGCGCTCATAAGGTTCTATTTTTGGATCAAGTTAACCTAACTTAACAATCATTGTCTATTATCCAAAAACTTATAAAAGCATGCTTTGATGTACTTTCGCGCCTTACGGCTTAGGGGATTTTAATTAAGTTTCATAATATAGGCATGATAGCTTATCTGGATCGTTCTTCGTCCCGTTAAAATAAACAATCCTATTCCGAAGAGCGCTACACGAGTGATGCAGTGGGAAAAGGCTAGTCTTAAGGTTTTCCATCAATGTGAGCAGCGGACGCGCATGACGCGTCCACACATGCAGTCACATAACGTCGTCTATTTATACAAGGGATCAGTGAAAGGCTTCCATAAAACATGGGGCTGACAGCACGTGTTGCGGCGAATGCAATGAAGGCATTAATCGATGTAGCTCGGTGACCATAAGTGAACTTGAGTTCGATTTTCCAGTCAGCAATTCTCGTTACATTGTTATTTTCCTTACCAGTTATCTAATCTAATTCAGCACGTGGGAGGGCTGTTTAAGCGGCTATAAAACATTTTATATCTGGAAATGGAAGAAAAATTGACTTCTCCAAGTAGATCTAGATTGAGTTTTGGCACTATTATTGTTAAAGGCCCATTGGGTGCAAACGAATTCCATTTTGAAATAATGATAAAATAATTATTTTTACGTAAGACAGAGGGAGTCGCGTCTCGTTAAGTACTAAAAAATCCAAATCATATAGGTAAATGACCTAAGACTTTTAGAAAAACAAAGATGCTTTAAATCGGCCTAAATTCATAATTTACACTTTTTCACGAGTGGTTAATTGCCTATAAAAATTAAGGGTAACAACAACTATTAAGAGCAATTAATCGCCTCACGCGCTGATAACGATCCGATATAATAAGAGGAGGCACCCTCGAGGGTGCTGAAGCCAACGTTTGTAGGTGGATTGAGATCGCGGTTCTCGGCGGTCAAGTTCCTAGGTTAGTGCAGGTCTAGCGTGTTTGACAATTTCGCAGGCGTCCAACGCGAAACGAGTCCCCAGAGTGCCAGCGGGTTACCTCTGTGATGGTGGCGGCGCTGGAGTTCCGCGCCCTCCTGGCGCTGCGGTACGTGTCCGCCGGCGGGGGGCGCCCGATGTCGTTCGAGATCGACTTGGACCTGGATATCTCGCCGTAGTTGCTCTGGTTCTGTTGCTGCTGCTGCTGGATCCTCTGCGTCAGCGGTATGTAGTTCGCCGGCGAGTACTTGTTGTAGAGCTCCGCCGTGGACATGGCCAGCGCCGCCGAGCCGACGAAGCCCCTCTTCGCGTTCCGCGCGTCCGCTTTGCCGCTCTCGCTGCGGGTGGTCGAGACATCCCTGGATCGGGACTCGCTCCTCTCGCTCCTGTAGCGGGCAGGGGCGCCGTTGTCCGAGTCCGTGGCGCTCGGGGCCCGCGAGCCTCGGCTCTGGTACTCCACCAGCGAGGTCTTCCTCTCCCGCTTGCCGTCCACGTCCGTGTATCGGGACCTGTACTCCGTGGTGCGGTCGCCGTATGAGCTTCTGAGAGTGGACGTCATGTATGTGCCGCTCGACCGGTAGTACGGCTTGTCCAGGCTCGCGGACGACGTCAGGGTGGAGCGGTAGGAGCCGGTGAGGCTCGAGGAGGTGGACGTGTAACGTGACGGGGAGACCACGGGCATTTTGGACGTGCGCTCTGCTCTGGAGGTGGGCCTATCACATAGTTCGCTTATCGCTTAGGTGTGCCGATGGTCAATGGTGCACCGCTTTGATCCTAGTAGGCGGTCGCTTCCTTTGCATCTTTAGATTAGACCTGAAACAAATATGGATGGTTAGAATGACAAAAATTACACTGAAAGGTTTGTAACATTAAGATGTATGCATCTCAGATTTAGAAAAATATGAACAGCACTCATTTCAAATTACTCAATGGATCTTATTAAAATACAAATGTCTAAATATATATTTGATACATATAATTGATACAAGACACAGGTGTCTTTGGTACAAGTTAACTTTTTTACTGATTATTGATACCTTAGTTCAGTAGATATTCTCTACTGATTACCGCAACAAATAAATGTGGACACAAATTAAATGTTAATATATCTGTATTATCATTCTTAGCGGTTGACACAAAATCGAACTTTTAATGGTCTTTATAAGATAAACCACTGCAGAATATTCAATATCATTAAAAGTAATATACGGAATAAGTAATGTTATATTGTTGAGTTATTAATTACATGTGCTGTAAAAAAAAATTCTGGATTTTATATGCAGATAAGTAAATTGAACAAATTAAAAAGAACAAAATATTGTCTTAAATAAAATATCCTAACTATACAAGCAAGTTGTTATGATTCAGCTTAACTCCAAATCTAGATCTCTTTTACATGTATAGACATGGAAATAGATTTAATGTAATTATTATGATAACAACAATGGAATTTTTCCATGATGCACAAATAGGGTGGTAACAAAATTCAAGTTACAATCACAAATATACTTAGGTCTCATTTAAAAACGAGTTTGGTTACAATGTGCAAGCACATTATCATGAACAAAAGAAATTTCTGGACTGTTTACCATGGGGTATTCGCGTTTACTATGTCAAGGTCACGGTTTAATTCCGCTTATATAGAGCTACTAACAGTATTGGTGCGTTTGATTACGCGCAGTTTAGTATGATGCAGCGACCCGGTGGCCCGCAGCCACTGAAATTTGATATGTATCGTGCACCGAAGAAATCGCTGCCGGAGCTTCAAGGCCATGCGAGATCTGACGATGCAGACACAGCACAATTTAATTTATCACTTTCACACCACTCACCCGTTGCGGCGTTCGCAAAATCACCATATACACACCGAGAATACGCTCCTTGTGCTAAAAATAGACGTCTCCAAGAGCGTTTTTGCATGACACACAAATTTTGACGGAACTCCTCGCAAATTAATTTAATTTGCCGTAGGATCGCGTAAATCGCGTTGCAATTGTATTCGATAGCGAATAAGCACGAAATATATGTGGGATACTCACGAAATAATAGGATTGAAGTAACCAAAGCAACTGGATAATAATTTCTCGCTCCGTTTAAATTGTATTTCTTCTGCACAATGTATAATTAAATCACCTCCGTTGTACGTACACTTTTCAAGTCACTTTATTATGATTATCGTTAAAAATGGAGCGTATACGCTGTACGTCGTCTAATATTTTTCTTCGGCTCATGTAATTTTAGATGTGCAGAGGCTCCATCCATATCTCCATTTGAGTGACGTCACTTAAATTGTTAGTGTTGGCAATCCTATTTTTATGATACTTCCGTATCAAATATATTAGCTATTCTAATCTTTCCTCCTTTAAAATAAAGCTTATATTACAGACTGTGACAGTGTTGAGACTTTTGGATAAGTGTTGCCCACATATTTTAAGTCAGCTGTTTATAAAAATATTATGTTTTAACTAAAGAAAAATGAACATTAATATAAAAATTGAATTCTCTTCAAATTTAGTAATCCGTGATTTAAAATAATCTTACACTTTTCTTTTTCTTTAAACGTACCATAGTAAATTAATGAAATTATTTATTTTGCTATTAAACAACAGATGGCAGTATGTTATTTTCAACAAAACTTTCTCTTTTCCCACAGATGGCATCGTTGGCATCTTAAATGCAGATTAGGACTAGATATTTGTATAAATCAAGCAATAATTTTCGCATCTTTCTCACTTTAATCTCATAGTGTTACCGTCAATACTTTATTTGTATTTGTTTGAGTCTATAGTTATTCGAACAACTGATACAAACACTTGGTTTTCACATGTAGCCTAGCCGGCAATCTATAAAAGAATGTCATTTATTAATTATATCCACACATTCAAATTTAATGAAGCAAAAATTATACATCACATACAAGTAATTGTCGTACATTAAATAAATTATAAATATTTATCACTTTGGAGTAGGATAAATTCACATGTAAGCAATTACAAATATTAAGAATTTCTTTTGTACACTTTTAAGGTACTTATTTTAAAACGGGATCCGAAATGATAATGGCATACTCTAATTGTGAATGTATCATTTTAGGAATTTAATTTTCATGAGTCGATTGTTTGTCGTTTGTCATGAATTGTTCATTGTGATTTATATTAGTGATTTTATCTTTAAATGAAATAACGCGCTCTTGTGTTGTGCGTGCAGATTCCACTATTTATAATTTAACGATTAATGTAAAAAAATAGAATATAAACAATAAACGTTGCGGAGACGAAACGGTACCGTTGTCGGATCCACTGCAACCCCGCGAGTCCCGCGACCCCTATTAATGAAAGATGGACAAATTTTACTAACCAACTAATCTATGGTTATTTGATATATTTCGTTAAGTTTCGTGCGTTCACTATCCAAAGCCAAATCAAAAGAAGATATAACTGTTAAAAAAGGTATTTCATTCATGTAATGCGGCTTATAATTTACATTAAAATGTCTCCCGGGAGGTAAAGCGAACATGAACTCCAAAATCTTCCGATAGATGGCGTTTACATGTTAGTCTGATCAATGTTGCGTCTTCTGTTAAACCAGATACAATTTATGGGGTGAGGAGTCAGGTTATAAGGATTTGCACAATCATTGCTGTAATTCTCAATACTCCACTTAAAAGGTCAGTTTTATCAAAACAGTACCTATGCTGACTTTTATATGTAGTTTTCTCTTTTTAGGGACATGCTGCCAAAACATTGTTGGCCATTTCAGTCTTATGATTGAGTACCTATGGGTCCTTTCTATCCTTTTTCTCGTCTAAGGTTTTAAAATATTAATATCTATAGGTATAGAAATAATTTCAGTGTCCTAAATTTTTTTTTACTTTGTAACAAATGACAATATAATCATATTTTTATAGCAACCTTTTTTTATTACATTTTCGTTTCGTTTTATTTATTTTGCCATCCTTTAATTTAATTATATTATGTGTATCAAAAAATCATCATCTTGTATAAAATTTTATTCTTTATTAACAGAAATTTTCTTTTATTACCGTAAATTAATCCTCTTTGGACATGAAAAACGTTAATTTGTGATTACATGTAGTCCCATGATTAATTTTCTAGGTTAAGTTTAAATTATGCAAATGTTCATTTTAAAGGTAAGTTAACCGGCAAGTAACATAAGTAATATTTAACAAGTGGATATCAATCCACTTTTGAAATTTACTAAATAAGAAATTATCAGTAACAATTTTTAGTGACGAATGAATGAATGCATAATTATGGAAATTCGAAGACTTTGTTTGTACTATGGTTTTTTAACCCTTATTTTGGCATGATTAGGTCATTTATCAAATCAAACAAATTTTAACAAAATTTTGGTAAAATACAGACAAATTATTATTTTCTAAGGAAGAGTCTCGATACGCCGTGCAATTAAAAGATGGCGCTACTGAACTTTTCGTTCATTATAACGAAACTTATTTAAGTTTTTTTCGGCATAAACTTTATATGAAAGCATAGTCACAATGAATTTTTCATATTATTTTAAATTTATAGTACTGAATTAAAGATAAAATGTCGTAGTAACCGGTGCATGTAACATGTATAAGACTTCTTTGAGCTTCATTAAAATCGGAATCTTATTAGTTTTTTTTAACCTTTAGAAGCGGAAACACTCGCTCCAATAGAAATAAAATGAACACTACAATGCAACTTGGATAAGTTACTTTCTCATTGATTTTAATAGTCCACTAATAGTAATATATAGAGTAATATTCAATAAAATTAAAAACATGTACTACTATTTCTTGTAGAAATGTCTGCAATTCATGACAGAAGCGAAGGTATATTTTTTTAATTTTGAAGTAATTGACAAATTAAATTATACAAGTATCCTTAAAGTAATAGAAATATATAATTAAAACTTTACGGACAGGAAATACGACAGACACACTCAAAGAATATCTGCTCTTTTATATTGTAATTAAAGGTCCTAACCTTTAGGTATTATTGACAGACTATACAAGAAACCAATATTTTAAATTAAATATGTATTATTCGTATAAGTACAAAGTACGATGTGTTTATTGTATTGTCTTAATTAAATTTATCAAACTATTAAACAATTTATTAAACTCATCCAAAGTGTATTCATATCATGTTCAGTGAGTTAAAAAAAACGTAAAACCTCTACCACTAATTACAATGCAATGTATTCCTATAAATATATCCTGTTTATACGAACACTGTAAATAAGTACACTCCCAGTACAACCCTATAACTTTTTCGTTGCACTTTTTTTGTTGTAAAAAGATAAATTAAATCATCGATTTGTGCATTTTTGTATTTTCATCTGTAACGGTTTACACTTAGGTACTAATATTTTAAGCTTGGTTATCTAGCTCTCTGCTGAAATTCAAAGATCATACCTAGCGTCATAATTTCTGAGTTAAGCCATTTGTATATATATTTTAAAAAAGTTAACTAAATCCAAGAAAGTTCTTTTTATACTACGTTAAGCTTTTAATAAAAAGCTAGGCCGTGATTAACAAAATATAAAATTATTACAATAACATTAAAATTTTTTCTTATATTTATAAAACATTGCCCTTTAGTATAATATTATACTGTGTTGTAAGGACGTTTTGTATAAGTACATTTCACGTAGACAAACACCCAGATCCGACTGGTGCGTATAGAATCTAAATCCTAACAATAAAATGAGAAACCATGTGACAAACTGGCTTAATATACAGTTACTAGCTAATACATGTGTTGCTTTTTTTTAACAATGTATTTCATCTAACATGGTAAGAAAACACACATCACTGAAGATCCTACATCTTCTGTTTATGAAAATCAATGTTATTCTATTTTTAAAAATAAATCGTTTATTTAAAATTAAATAACTTCCCATCTTCCATTTTTTTTGAAGATAAGAACCAAATGAAACTTAGAAGAATTGATTAAAATCCATCCTATAGTTATTGAATTGTAGAGCAATTATAACATTTAGAAAGAAGTCAGTAACGTGTCCGTATAATTGTAATAATTGATTTCATTGTGATTTTTTAAGAAAGAGAAACAAAATATAGGTTTTAATTAGGGTTTTGTTACCATTCGAGATTCTATCAATTATTTTCAGCACTGATTTGGTGAAAATTGTTCTATAAAACTTAATTCATTCTGTGCAAAAACTTATCCATCATCATTGATGTACAAAAAAAATTTATTACATTGTTGATGATTCTAACATTTTAAAATGGCATTTGTGAATTTTTAATGAAAATAAATTCCTTGTCTGATAGCATCGTATTTAACGAATTGGACATTAATTATTTTAAATATTTTGAGTTTAACGTTTTTTACCATTGGAAACTTTTTTATTTTTATTTTGCGCGAGTGCTCATTAGTAAACATTGTTACAATTTCTATCCAAAAGTTATATTATTTTAATTAGAATATCCATTAATGATAACGTAAGTAAGTATGATAAGTAAAAAGTTTTTAACGTCTGTCGATTGCAATAACTGTCCTGTACAATATCTAAGCATTATTTATATACTATTTATAATACTAATCTGAGTTTTATAAATATAAAAAATAGCACAAAACTATGACACGTCCATAGGTATATGATGGTTGTACAAAAAATATGGAACGTTTTCGTTTACGACGGGAACGCGAGAAAAAAACATTTCTGATCGCAGGGACGACTAGAAGTCGGAAGTGTCGCTCTATGTCGGCGACGGGAGGGATCTCGCGTAGCGCCGAGTCGGGTGCGGCGGCGGACGGCAACAGGTCGGGCCCCGAGAGCCGTAGGTACCTATCAGGCGGCTCTGCCCACCGCCGGCGTCGGATGCGCCGTTTGGGCCCGAGGTCGCGGCGCGCGCGCCGGCCGTCACTTGGCCACCGCTAGCCGCGCGCGCCTCACCTGCGCGCCCTACGCCCCTGCCCCTGCCGCGGCCCTGCGCCCCGGCCCGGCCGCGCCCCCCGCCCGCCCCGGCGCGCCGCCGCCGCCGCCGCCGGGGCGCCCGCTGGCCCGCCGCCGCCCGGGCCCTTCCCAGGGCGCCGCACACGGCCCGCCACCGCCGCCGGCCTGCCCGGGGCCCGAGCGGCGCCGCGCCAAAGCCGAGCGCCGAGGCGGCGCGGCGCGCGCGTCTCTCGCGCTCCCCGCGTAGGCCTAAATAAGCGCAGCCCGCGCGCCCGCGCCAAAATTTCGCACGGATTCCGGCCCAAAATGTCCGATAAGATTCCTGTAGGCCTATTTGGGGGACGCTAGCCGGTGGACCTGTGGACTGTGCGGTGTCGGATTAATCGGGTCCCGGACGGGTGCGCGACCGGTGACACCGTTTTTTCGGCGATTTCGTGAAGTGTGTGAATTGCGGACGGACGGTGTGCGTGTCGCGCGGCCTCCCGCCGATCTCCATGGATATTGCCGACGCAAACACAACGATCATGTAAGTACACGCTTTGTTTTACGACGTTTAGTTAATAGTTCGTTTAGAAATTGCGACTGAAGGCTATTTATAGCGGATTTTCTAGACGAAAATCATGCCGTTCGCGGCGCGCTCGAAGCGGCATCAAAGATGGCATGTTACGCCTTGCTCTCTGTACAAAAAAAGTTCAAAAGGCTTGAGTTAAGTTCACATCGCAAATTGCGGTTTAAGTTAAAAGTAAGGGCTTACAATTAACTAAACTAGACGGTACAACAAGCTAAAACTCAAAGGGCAGCGCGGCGGGAACATAAAACGAAATCTTCAGACAAAAATATTATGCAATTCTATCTTTGAAAATACAGAAGTAATTTTTTGATTTTGTACCAATTGTTATAATCAGGACACTGTTCACTATCTAAAATAACATTTATCTTGTAATACCTACGACTACCGATAAATACCTACCAAAAATTTCAATCCTCGAACGATACCTTGAATTCCCAAATAGATTTATGTAAGGAATAGATGTCTGCTGTAGCTATGTGTTTAATAGATTACTTCATGTAGATCGTTCATTTCATTATCTACTACTATTGTTATCGTTCACTTCATTATACGACGTTTGATTTGATCGCAAGATCTGAATGAAAACGGTATGGTCGACAAAGAAGCCGGATCTGTTAATAGGCGCGAACGCCCAGCAACGCAACAAATCTTGAGAGATGCTGAATTTGTATTTAATGTCAAATGTACCCATACGTACAATACAGACAGGATATAAAAGAGAACAGTGAAAGAACAGTTCGCTGAGAGTCACAAGAATTTCTTACAGAATAACAATTCGGTTTAAGCTGCCATTTATAATGAACTCAATCACACAATTCTATGAAAACAACGTAGGCAATATAGTAAATGCTGTTAGAAACAAACTGGTTTACGTCTTGAATTGAACTTCCTAAATTCAATACTCTCGAAGTCTGGATAAGACTTAGTATAATGCTTTTCGTACATAAAGTAAGGTGGTTGTCCAAAGTGGCGGAGATGTTTATGCACGCCGAATGATCTTGAAAAATACACTTAACTTACTGTTTAATGATCTTCATATCGACTTTTATACTCCTTTCTTTTGCACGTAGAACTTCGTAAAATTGCTATCTGCTAACATTTTTATGAAGCTTGTGATATAGTTTTTGGTGCTATGAAGTTAGGCATATTTCGAGCCCGACGGCTGCAATAACTGCAACCCGAAGGCATGCTGTTCATTACGAAATATTGTGTATGAATTTTTATCTGTAACGGATTAACAATGCAACTAAAACTGGTATTCGCTTCCATTGATTTAATTGGTCGGCTCGTTCTGGAACGTTCCAGAAGTACTGGCGTGTAATGCGAATGATAGGTATAGAGAAAATACTCATTTGTGGAAAGGGCAATAAAAGTACAGTGTACCTCAATAGTAAAAAGAGATTTTGGTGACGAAACCTCCTTATTTGAATTGTTATAACAAAACATTGGCGAAAAAGTTGTATATTCTTTCTTAATCTTAGACGGTAGTAAAAGAAAGCTAGAAAACTGTATCAGCGTATATTCAAAGTAAAAATAAACAGGTTCCTGCTGGGCTACAATCGCCACCTTCCATATCAAGGGTCACTTTACACCATTTGGTCATTGGTCACAATCGAACGCAACGATATATCAAAAAGGTCAATTCGAAGGTAACAATTTGATTGTCACTTATGAAGTAGATATGTACGATATGAAAGAATGTAGGAACCCTTAAAATCTTTAGATATAGAAACGTCCGTAGGCATGTAACAGTTTAATCGCGTCTTCCCATTGGATTAGTAGTTGCAAAATAAACTCGGATGAAATGTAAAATGATAGAGCCAATTGAGGAGAAGACATGTCTTCTCACTGGCAACATTCAGCATCATCATATCCGGCATTAGGCCCACATTGCTTTGAATGTGGGCCTAATGCCGGAAATCCAATTGGTTGTGACGTGGTCATTGATGACAATGCAAATCCGTACAGACTCCCTATCCCTGGTGATTGAGTGATGTTATCTCATTATAAAATCCAATCAACCCAACATCTAAATACATTATATAACTTTAAAGAGTTATTTGTAACATCCTTATAGGTTTTTATTTAAACTTACACGCCTATGACACCCCTGTACGTCGTTATCATTGAAACAATAATTTTTGAAAGATTTGCAACGTTATATAAAGTATCCATGTGCCTTATCTCATTACTAGACCCATTAGCTGAAGGTATGCGTTGGCAGTGCATCAGTGTTTGTTTTTTAAGCGGATACTTTGCCAAATTATACGGATTTACAAAAATTTCATCAAATTTAATATCCTTACTAATATTACAAAGGCGAAAGTTTTGTATGTATGGATGGATGTTTGTTACTCTTTCACGCCAATACTACTGAATGGATTTTAATGAAACATTTACAATAATATAGCTTATACATCAGAATAAGACACAGGCTATAATTTATATACATATTTTTATGTATATATGTCTTTCTGTCTGAATGTTACACCTTCAGCCTATTCTACGCAGACGTAGTCGCTGGCAGCAGCTAGTTATTCATAAATTATAATGTTTCGATTACCTTTGTTCCTTGAGACAAACGAGTTTTACATCTTAATGTCACAGTTAACCCTTATTGACACATCTTTTTGTATTTCCCTTGTACAATTTGTGCCGAAAATAACACTACAAAATGAAGCCCCTAGTACGCGTGGTCCATAACAACACATTGAATGTTGGTAATCAAAAAAAATCATGGGCAAGTGCGAGTTGGACTCGCGCGCGAAGGATTCCGTACCAATATCTATAAAAACGGCAAAAATATCAAGCCTGTTGTATGGGAGTACAACATAAATATGTTTTCTTCTGTTTATTATTATTTGTTGTTAGAACAGCAACAGAAATACATCATCTGCGTAAATTCAACAGCCTAACAGGACCTGATACAGCCTGATGACAGACGGACGGACAGACAGACAGACAGCGGAGTCACAGTAATACCATTTCGTTTGTTTAACCCTTTCGGTATGGAATCCTAAAAAGGTTGCCGATAAAAAATGTCAATGCATTTTAATTTACAAATTCACGTAAATGCAAGTTATCATTAAGTGGATGCTTTTTATACATTTATGACGGAACAAAGGACAGACTAAAAGCTTATCAGTAGGTACAACCTGCGAAATATATTGCGAGGGCGATATATACAAAAGTTCGAAAAGATACTGAAAATACCATAGTTTACTTTATTAAAATAGGTTGGATAAAGGGCAGTAGGATGACGATGAATATAATTTATTTATTTTCTGCTTCAAAACAGTAAAAACTACGTAGAATATAAATAGAAAAAAAAGGAAGCAAATATAATATATAAACACAATATTTAATTGTTTTTAAATAGAAAAACACAACATAATGTAATTTAATTTATACTTAATAATTATAGTAACAAAATTTCTTTTTGTTGTTTTAACAAATTATGACGAAAACTTACATCATTAATTGTAAATAATTCCCCGTTGGTATAACGTAAAAATATAACAATTTAGAATGTACTTCACAATGTTAAAGCATAAGTATTTTTTATGTGAAAAGTTGCCAAGCAAGCAGTTGTTTCACCTGATGCAGAGTGAATACCATTTACAGCAATTAACGGGTTGCAGCTGTGGTGGCAACCTTAAAAAGTGGGTCCGGTTATCTAGTTCACGGGAAGAAACGCATCCTTACTAATATTATAAACGCGAAAGTTTTTATGTATAGATATCCATCTAGAAAAGTCCATCTAGATCTAGGATGTTCGTTACTCTTTCACGCAAAAACTACTGAATACACTTTATTGAAACTTTACAATAATATAGCTTGTATATCAGAATAATATAAATATATAATTTATAAAGATATTGTGTGAATTGTCCAAAATACAGGTAATGATAAGTGTCAACTAAGTAGGAAAAAATTCAGCCATCTTCTCTGTGAGGACGTAGCACTTTCCCGGCAAGGCTGAACAATCGTGCAACAGTTGAAAGGAGTTACGCAACCATACAATATGTTAAAAAACTCGGGGTCGACACGGAACAATTTCTCTCAAGAAAAAGATAAACATTCTGAACGCATACTTCTACTATTAATATTACTTTAAAAAATATCCTGAAGAGCATCGGTAAAATGTTGTTAAAGGAAACTATTCTGAAGCTTTAAATTGAGAAATTCACATTTTAGTTATTCCAATACTGATTTCGTTCGGTATGGAGAGATACGATTTGATATTTCATTATGTAGGTCAATATCACATATCTTAATTTTATCATTTTTACTAGCTTGTAATCGATTCTAAAATGTGCGTGTATGTTGTGCCATTTATCATGTTAATGTTTTATTGCAAGATAAAATGTATGATTAATGTATCCAATTCCACCTTTCCCGAGGTAAAATCTTAGTTAAGCAGTTCGCTCGGTCTCTATATACATATATACATACATAAATACAGCTTTATCAGTCCATTTAGATATAATTTATTCTTTCGACTCTTGTCAACCGGTGAAACGTTATCTAAGAGGAGGAATGACGCTTTCTGTCTGTATCTATCATTATTTACATAGTCTGTTCTACAAAACGATTGAATCGCTTAAAAATCGAAGAATCCAGCTTTGTACTACATCATACGAGATGGTGGACAGAAATTTGAACTTGACTATTTATCAGGCTGCAATAATTCCCATACTCTAGCATTATTTTGAAAAGATTTTGTTTTAAAAAGCTTTTTAACAAATAATAGAGAAACGACTTCAATAAACTCCAATAGCACTAAAAAGTTTATAATAATATTAAATCTAATATAATCAAAGCTTGAAAATCTAACCTATATAACTTAACCTACATAATCTCTAACATAATGTAACAATTTTTGCAGTCGTTGCGAAGCCGAGTATCTCTAATCTGAGCATAAAATAACTTATTATTTCCGCCGATGTTTTAAC